TCAAAGGGTGAACCTACCTGTTGATAATATGAAGTGAGAGGCAACCACCAGAGGGCGCAAGCTCCCTAAATTTGAACTGTGATCTCTGCACAGTGTCTGAGAGACTAAAACCCCCACATTTATTTCCCTAATAAAGGTGGATCCCAATCTATCTTGGATTCGTATATTCCTTTTTTTTTCTTCTCATTCTGTTTCATGCAAGACTCATCTTTGATTTTCCATGTATTTTTGTGTGTGTGTGTGTTTTTGTTTTTTAAAGGTAACTCTTTTTGGGAGGTGCTCCTGGTCAATCTCTTTCTCCTGTCTCCTTCCCCCCAGGTTCTGGATCGGGAGGGCCAAATGGATAACCCGTGTACTAGCTGGCTCGCAGATGCCTACTGGGACAACATCACGGAGCTTGACAAACTAACCAACTTCCATGGGCTCATGAACTCCTTTGAGCAGTATCCTCGGGACTGGCACCAGTGGTACACCAACTCCACCCCGGAGAAGGCTATGCTGCCAGGTGCCCAGGCATTTGAGCCTCCCCACTCCTGCCTCTCTCCTTCCCTCCATTCAGCCCATGTGTGTGCCCTTCCCTTTGTTCTCTATTCCTTCTCTCTTCTCTCGAGTTCCCCTCAGCCAGCTGCCTCCTGGCAGAGCACTCCCCGCAGGTGCCTCTTTGTTTAGATCCCTGCCCTTCCAGACGCTCCCTGCAACCACTCCCTCCTCCCCAGGTGAGTGGGAGAACGCCTGCAACGAAATGCAGCGGATGCTGATCGTCCGCTCCCTGCGCCAGGACCGGGTGGCGTTCTGTGTCACCTCTTTCATTGTCTCCAACCTGGGCTCCCGCTTCATCGAACCGCCTGTGCTAAACATGAAGCTGGTCAGTGGCTTGGTTTCCTTGCCCACATCATCCCGGGTCCTCCCTCTCCCCACTCGTCAACCACATGCATTTCCTCACTCTCTCCCACTCTATTACATGGCCTTCTGCTGAGGCCACACCCTGTGCTCCCGGCAGGTGTTGGAAGATTCAACCCCACGCACACCGCTGGTGTTCATCCTGTCCCCTGGCGTGGACCCCACCAGTGCCCTGCTGCAGCTGGCAGAGCACACGGGCATGGCGCAGCGTTTCCACTCACTGTCCCTGGGCCAGGGCCAGGCCCCCATCGCTGCTCGGCTCCTCCGGGACGGCATGTATCAGGGTCAGTGGCATTCTTGTTCTTCTACCCCCATCCTTGGCCCTGGTCCTACTTACCAGAGCCTCCAGCCTCCGTCACACGACCATAACCACAGCTTCCACTTTTCCAGGAGGTCCCCGGAGTGGCCCACCTGAGCACTTTGACACCCCTCCCCGCACACATACAATGAGATGGACAGTGTGGGGACAGATGGGGCTTAGGGAGTGGTCCCACTGAATCCAGTGCCTCCTTGCAGGACACTGGGTGTTCCTGGCTAACTGCCACCTGTCACTGTCGTGGATGCCTAATCTGGACAAACTGATAGAACGACTGCAGGTGGAGGATCCTCACCCTTCCTTCCGCCTCTGGCTCAGCTCTAGTCCCCACCCCGACTTCCCTATCTCAATCTTACAAGCCAGCATCAAGATGACCACAGAACCACCAAAGGTATGGGCGGCTGTAGATAGCCAGCATCAATTATTCCATCTGGTCTGCCTTTCCTTCTGCTAGCATCCAAGAGAGGGCTTACCCTTAACAGCAACACATTTTTATCCTACTGCCTGTAAAAAATATTGTGCTAAACTCTTAGAACATAATAGTAATATCTGATTTTCTTGATTGTTATTATGTGCCAGGCATTGTTCTAACTGATTTACATTTATTAATTCATTAAACACTAGTACACACACACACACACACACACACCCTATCAGATAAGTGTTATTACCCCATTTTACAGGTAGGAAAACAAGCCACTGAAGAGTAAATTAGTAGTCCACAGAACCTTCCTGTCTCCCAAAATGTCCATACATTCTCTCCCTATTGTCACATTTGCTGGGCTCCCAGTCCTTTTCTCCTTCCTTCCCTCCAATTCTATTGAAACTTTTTAAAAAATATATTTTATTGATTTTTTACAGAGTAAGTGAGAGGGATAGAAAGCTAGAAACATCGATGAGAGAGAATCATCGACCAGCTGCCTCCTGCACACCCCCTATCAGGGATGTGCCTACAACCAATGTACATGCCCTTGACCGGAATCGAACCTGGGACCCCTCAGTCCACAGACCAAAGCTCTATCCACTGAGCCAAACCAATTTTGGCTCTTTTGAAACTTTTATCTCCAATATTACAAGGTCACCATTGAATGCAATCATACTCATCTTTTAAAATCTGACCATGTTGTCTGTACCTGCCTTATTTTTGTTCTGTCTGTTACTTTTTGTTCTATATCCTACACATGAGTGGAATAATATAGTTCTTGTCCTTTTCTGTCTGACTTATTTCACTTAGCATAATACTCTCAAGGTTCATCCATATTGTCTCAAATGGCAATACTTCATTTTTAATTGAAAAAAAATCTGATCACGTTGGTACATCCCACCCATTTAGCCCCTGCTTAAACTATTTGAGTAGCTTTTCATGATTTTAGTCAAGATAAAAACCGTATTAACATGGCCTGTGTGGTGGCTCGGATGGGAGAGTGTCCCTCTGGCTTTGAAAGGTTGACCCTCCTTGCGACCTTCAAACGGATCTACCAAATCTTCAGTAGAAGAAGGACATTCAGCGTTTACTTGGCGCTAATGGATTTCTTTTGGAAGCTGACAAAGAAGCCAGTATTTTAAGGTTTTTTTTAGTATATATTTTTTAATTTAGAGAGGAAGGGAGAGGGAGATAGAAACATCAATGATGAGAGAGAATCATTGAATGGGCTGCCTCCTGCACGCCCTCTACTGGGGATTGAGCCACAACCTGGGCATGTGCCCTTGACTGGAATTGAACCTGAGACCCTTCAGTCCGCAGGCTGACGCTGCTCTATCCACTGAGCCAAACCGGATAGGGCAAGGCCAGCTGAAATATTTTATTTGAAAATTATTTTTTAAAATATATTCTTATTGACTTCAGAGATGAAGGAGGAAGGAGAGAGAGATATCAATAATGAGAAACATGGGGATCGAGCATGTGCCCTGACCGGGAATCAAACTGTGACCTCCTGGTTCCTAGGTCCGTGCTCAACCCCTGAGCCACAGCAGCAGGGCTGTGCACCTATGTCTTGTTCAAGAAATCTTTGCTTACTCCAAGGTTAAAAAGGCGCTCTCTCTCTTTATAAAGGCACTCTCTTATGCTTGTCTTGAAAACAATTTTATAATTTGACTTTTACATATAGGTTTTTAGTTACTTCAAATCTATTTTGTGAGTGTGAATAAGGTAAAGGTCTAATATTTTCCACATGGATAACCAATTCTCCCAGTACTATTATTGAAAAGCCCACAATTACCCTTCTGATCTACAATGTGTCTGCTCAGCCTTAGATCATGTTTCTCTGTATATATATATATATATTTTTTTTTTCTGGATCCTTTATTTTGTTACTTGATCAAGCTGTTTATATTGGGGTCACTATACACTGTCCAATTTGTTTATATTGGAATCACTATAATGGTCTTAATTACCATATAGCTCTTTAATAATTCTTGGTAGCTGGTAAGGTAAGTCTCCTTACCTTATTTTTCTTTAGACTACTCTCCAACATAAATTTTGGAATTAGCTTGTCAAGTTCCACAAAAAAATCCCATTGACTAATTTGGAAGAAATTTAAATGTGTACAATATTGAGCCTCCCAATCCATGAGAATAGTATGTCTCTCTGTTTATTCTTTAGTTCAATAAGTTTTATAATTTTCTCTATAAAGATATATACATTTTTATTAGATTTATTCATACCTTACATATTTTGATATTATAAATGGCATTTTAAAATCATATTTTCTTCCAATATTCTTACAGATTCTATTCTGTCTATCATAGAGTCTTCTTAAGACACTATTTCAACATATCAATGTTCTACTCAAGACAGCAAATATCTCCATGACTCCTGGTGAATCAAGTCCAGATGACTCAGACTGTCATTCTTATTGTACCTCCATCTGTTAATGGCCCTTCTTACCCAACCCGAGCACTTACACTTGACTTCAGTTAGGCTCATTTTCTCACTTATTCTCCCCTTTGTGCCTTTTCCCTTCAGTTCTTTTCCTTCTTTCTTTCTTTCTTTCTTTCTTTCTTTCTTTCTTTCTTTCTGGTGTGTGTTTTGTTTTGTTTTGTTTTTAAATAATTTCAGAGAGGAAGATGAAGAGAGAAACAGAGAGAGAGAGAGAGAGAGAGAGAGAAAAATACCAGTGATATAAGAGAATCACTGATCGGTTGTCTCCTGCACACCCTCCACTAGGTCGAGCCTGCAACCTGGGCATGTGCCCTTGATAGGAATCGAACCCGAGACCCTTCAGTCCAAAGGCTGATGCTGCTCTATCCACTGAGCCAAACCAGCAAGGGCTTCCCTTCAGTTCTTTCCATCTCCTGGAAACCAAGGCTCTCCACTCAGCAGTCATATCCTTCCCAGTTGTAAGACTTAGCCCAAATCCCATCTTATTCATGAAGCCTGATAAATCCAAGCACTAGAATGTTCCCCCTTGATGATATACTATGGCCCTTTTAATCTACACTGAATCCTTACACATAATATCGTGTACATTTTGTTCACTACCAGTTGCATGTTTATCTTTGTCTTTGTTCCTATTTTCTGGTACTTACAAATTGAATGGCCTATCCATCATTTTTAACTGAGAGGTTCAAAAGTGGGAGAACAAGAAGGTAGGGCTGCCACTAGCCCATACAATGCCTTATGTGAATCAGAGAGGCACCAGCCCTGTGAACAGGTGCACATGCTGGCATGCAGATCAGGACTAGATTTCAGCCTCCACCCAGCCCTTCAGCCAGGGCCCTGCAGCGAGCACCTCCACAGCTGCACACGGTGGTGCTAGTGGCAGAGCAGAGCATGCTGATGTCATCCCCTCTCTGTACTTCATTGTCCCCAGGGCCTCAAGGCCAACATGACCCGTCTTTACCAACTGATGACAGAACCACAGTTTTCCCGCTGCTCCAAACCTGCCAAGTATAAGAAGCTGCTGTTTTCTCTCTGCTTCTTCCACTCTGTATTACTCGAACGTAAAAAGTTCCTGCAGCTTGGCTGGAACATTATTTATGGCTTCAATGACTCCGACTTTGAGGTTGGTTCTAACCAGGGGTCCCTTATCCCAGCCCTGCCTTCCTGTCCTCCTGGTCCCATGGCTCCCCGTAGGAAAATCCACTTACAAAAGCCTGTTAAAGCTCCGTGGGGGGAGCCCCACTGGAAGAGTTCCTACAATAACTGTGTGTGGGGTTTGGGCCGGGACCACCCACAGGTGTCAGAGAATCTGCTGAGCCTCTATCTGGATGAGTACGAGGAGACACCCTGGGATGCGCTCAAGTACCTCATTTCCGGCATCAACTATGGTGGGCACGTCACGGATGACTGGGACCGGCGCCTGCTCACCACCTACATCAATGACTATTTCTGTGAACAGGCTCTATCCATCCCCTTCTACCGGTGAGGGGGTGGGGACACTGAGCACCTACTGGTGAGGGGTTGGGGACACTGAGCACCTACCGGTGAGGGGGTGGGGACACTGAGCACCTACCAGTGAGGGGTGGGGACACTGAGCACCTACGGTAAGGGGGTGGAGACCAGAGGACACAGGGACACCAGGTGGCAGAGGGTAGGGGAGGTGTTTGAGGAGAGAATGTGAAATTGGAAGAAGGCAGAGTGTGTAGGATTGGCAGGAAGAACAAGAACAGAGTTGGACAAATGGGACATACGTAGGGACTTGGATCTGGCCCGGTTTGAAGCCCGGAGTGCTCACAATGTGATAATCATGCTGTGGCTCTCCAGGTTGTCAGTACTGGAGACTTATTTCATCCCCAAAGATGGGAGCCTGGCCTCTTACAAGGAGTACATCAGCATGCTGCCTGGCATGGACCCCCCTGAGGCCTTTGGCCAGCACCCCAATGCGGACGTGGCCTCCCAGATCACGGAGGCACGGACTCTCTTTGAGACCCTGTTTTCCCTGCAACCCCAGATTACACCCTCCAGGGCTGGAGGCCAGAGCCGAGAAGAGAAGGTAAGAACAGAAGACGCCTGGGGCGGGAAAGCCATCAGAAAGAGGGCTGCGCTCAGAGCTCTGCCTCACCAGGTCCTTGAGTTGGCCGCTGATGTGAAACAGAAGATCCCTGAAATGATCGACTATGAGGGGACCCGGAAACTGCTGGCTCTGGACCCCTCCCCTCTCAATGTGGTCCTTCTGCAGGAGATCCAGAGATACAACAAGCTTATGGAGACCATGCTGTAAGATGGAGAGAGCTCTGCAGACTGGGGAGGGGGGGAGAAGAAAAACCTTCACCTCCTGCCTAGAATGAGTCTTACAGGCCCATCCCATCGTTAACCTCCACCCTATTTGTTCAGGTCCTCACTGACAGACCTGGAAAAGGGCATTCAGGGTCTCATCGTCATGTCTACAAGCCTGGAAGAGATTTTCAATTGTATCTTTGATGCCCACGTCCCTCCACTCTGGGGAAAGGCAAGATTACACCACTGTTGATCCTACTCCAACAGTGAGCTCTCCTCTCCTCCCTGTGCCCTCCACCTCCTGGTTCTTGGTAGGCAAACAGCAAAACGCAATAAGCCTGGGCTTTGGAGCCAGGAGGTTCCGGTTGAAATCTGGCTCTGCCATTCATTGACTGGCTTTGCATGAGATATTAACTCAGGACAAGTTATTAACTTGAAGGATGTTTCCAGGATTCCCAGTTCTGTGCATAGCACTTAGTAGGTGCTTCAATAATGGTGACTGGCTACTATGACTGTTGCTATTGTTGTTAATAGTTGTCATCTTTTGTTTCTTTTCTGGGGGTTGGCTTTTGGAGTGCTTTACCCAAAGTTGGGGAACAGGGGCTGGCATCACACGTTCTTCTCATGCCTGCTCCGAGGGCTCAAAATAAGGACTTGAATGTAAGAGTAAGTGAATGAATGAGCACACACTGTTGCTCCTCCAGGCGTATCCCTCCCAGAAGCCACTGGCTGCGTGGACCCGGGACTTGGCCTTGCGCGTGGAACAGTTTGAGGTGTGGGCTAGTCGTGCCCGGCCTCCTGTCATCTTCTGGCTGTCTGGCTTCACCTTCCCCACCGGCTTCCTCACCGCCGTGCTGCAGTCTTCAGCTCGCCAAAACAACGTGAGCCTCGTGGAGAGGGTGGCAGGGCCTGGGTGCTGGGGACATGTATTTACTCTTCGGGGGGCCTCCCTTACTCTCACCTCCAATCCCAGATTTCAGTGGACTCTCTCTCCTGGGAGTTTATCGTTTCCACTGTGGATGACAGCAACCTAGTGTATCCACCCAAGGTAGGAGCCAGGCGTGCTTGGGGCTCTGAGCAGAGGCGGGAATGGGGGAGGCGCGTGCCGGGAGCAAAGGTGGGAAACAATGGGTTGAGTAGGGAGGAGAGGTGGCAGGTGAGGGGTGCTCAACTTCCCATAACCTGCTCCCATGTCTCCCCAGGATGGTGTCTGGGTTCGAGGCCTGTACCTGGAAGGTGCTGGCTGGGACCGGAAGAGCTCCTGCTTGGTGGAGGCGGAGCCCATGCAGCTTGTCTGCCTCATGCCCACGATCCACTTCCGGCCTACAGAGAGTAGGAAGAAGAGTGCCAAGGGTGGGACACTCCTTCAGACCTCCCTAACCCATCCTCTGCTGCCCTGTTTTCCCAGAGGCTCCGGGTCTGATTCCTTCTCTTTTCCCTCAGGTATGTACTCCTGTCCTTGCTACTACTATACCATCCGGGCAGGCAACTCGGACAGAGCCTCCTTTGTCATCGGGATCGACCTGCGGTGTGGCACCATGACATCTGATCATTGGATCAAGAGGGGCACTGCTCTACTCATGAACTTGGACAACTGAGAAGGCCTCCTCTTCTCCCCACGAGAGAGGATCGGGGACTCTAAGAACCAAAGCTGACGGTGCACCTCAGGCCGAGCGAGGCTGGACCTCCCTCAAGTCTTGACCTTGGTTGAATGTGTTGTGTGACGGGGCCCTGGAGATACCTAGTGTGCTAGACACAAAGGCTAATAATTGTATTGGAGTTCAGTGCAGTAAAACACCGTGTCTGCAAGTCTCAAGTTTCTCAGTGGGACGTTGGGGTTTGAGGAGGAAGCCTTACTGAGGACCTGGGAGCTCCTGTGAGCGCCGCTGGATGGGGAAAGAAGCAAGGGAAGTGGGAGGCCTTGAGACAGAGGCGTGGCCTCGAATGAATGGGCAGAGCGGTGGGGCCTAAGAAGGCGTGGCTAGGTCTAAGTGCCGGACTAGAACGGGGGCGGCAGTTACTTCGGAAAGGCGCGTGATCCAAATGGAATAGGGGTTTGACAGACGAGGGTCGGGGCTGGACCCTGCACCCTGTACCCTGAAGCCCGCAGTCCACGTTTGGCACACTTTTCGGCCCTTGAGCTGAGGCGAAAGGGACCAGCAAGAGGCGGGGCGGAGCCGAGAAGGGGGCACTTTGGCGCGAGGAGGGGCGGGGCCCCGAGCAGGGGGCGGGGCGGGGCGGGGCGGGGCTTGTGTTGGAAAATCCAACTGCGCCACGGGGCGGAGCGGCCCCCCCAGCCCCGACCTGGGAGGGGGGGGCCGCTCGACCCCCTGGGAGACCTTGGGGAATCTGCACACCTGGGACACCTAGGATCAGGTAACCGGGAGCCGCGAGGGCGTCTCGAAGGAGGGGAACCGTCTCCTCTCAGGGGGGCGGGACGCCGGAGTCGCAGGCAGAGCAGAGCCGGGGATGGACATTTGGGTCTCAGCAAAGGCTTTGGGAAGAAGACTGGGGCGCAGGACACCCAGGTGTCCTAGAAAAGTGCAGGGCGGGAGCGGGGAGAGCCGAGAGGCGGCTGGCTTGGCTCCGGATGTTGTGAGGGGCCTCCAAGCACTCGCGGTCCCTCTTGGGCTGGGATTCCCCTTCTCGAGAATGGGGCGGGGCGGGCCGCGGGGCCCTAACGGCAGGTCAGAGTTGGCAGGTGGGTCAGTAAGATGGCCTTGGCGGTCGGACGTGGTTAAGCAGGGTTGTGTCTCCGACCCCGGGGCCACTTGGAGTTTCTCCCCGGTACTTTTCATGAATGGGGGGTTTTGTCTTCAACCCTGACCCTCACACCAGGAGCTCCGATTGCCTCCACGCTGTGGCCTCCGCCTCATCTCCCCTCCCTCCACTCGGCCCAATCCCGCTGATCTCTTCGCGGATCCTGCCTCGCTCTCCCTTTCGCGTTCCTAACCCTCGCGGGGCTCGGGCCATTCTTTGTGCTTGACCTTCCCGACGTGGCCACGAGGTGGCGAGGGCGAGACGCGTTGCCCAAGCTGAGGGGGGTGAGGTGGGCACAGGGCCTGGAGGGCAGCCGAAGCCCCCCGCCCCAGCCGGAGGGAAAGGTGGGCTGAGGTGCTCTTTGGGTTTCCTGTCATCTCTGCCCCGGCTCGGGGCTCAGTCTCCGCCCCCCGGGGCTCGGGTACATACCGAGGAGGGGGCACGCGGGTTGGTTACTAAGCAACTCAGATCCGCTGCCAGTCGCTGCGGTTGGTGGCTGTGTCCTGGGGTGGGAGTCGGCGAGCATGAGGGCCTGGGGGACTGGGAAAGGTCGAGGGCAGGATGCTTGATTCTCGGGAGGGACAGCCAGAGTTTGGGAGGAAGGAGGGGAGGCAGCGAGTTGGCATTAAGATGGATCCGGCGGCTGTCAGGTGGGAGCGGGGACCCTTCTCTCTCCGCCCCCTCGGCCCCCCGCCGTTGCTTACCCTGTTGCCAGAGTAACTGGAGAGCCAGACTACGGAGCCAGATTCCCGAACTCTCGAGTCGGCCCAATCCGCTCCGGCGGACGGCCCTGACGTCAGATCCCCGGCAGCCAATGGGGAGCGGCGTCGTGCGGCGACAGGAAGCAGGAGGGCGGGGGGAGCGGCCGGGCGGCGGGGGCCTGCACGTGCACTCCCACACGCTCGCGCCCCCGCCCCGCCCCCCGCCGCACGCGCCGGAACCCGCCCCCCGCGCCTGCGCCCCGGGCCCGCTCGCCGCCCCCAGGCCCCTTGGGACCGTCTGCGGGGTGTGCGGGCCGGGGCTTCCCCGCAGGGCCCTCCCGACCCAGACGTGTGGGTCCCGCTGCCCTCTTCCTCGAGGTCTCGAACCAGTCATGCCCAGTCCTGGGCGGGATCGGCCGGCTACCTGTCTCCCACCCCCTCCCAGCTGGCACCCGCCCTCCCAGGTGGCGGCAGGGCGGAGCTGCGGTTTCCGGCCCCACAGGCTCCGCCGCCGCCTTCCCGGACTTTGGCTTTGGTTGCCTCCGCAAGAGGAACCGAACCGGTGCCAGCGCCCCTTCCCGGGGCTTCGGTCGCTCAGGCCCAGCTGCTGTGGCTGGTGGCGGGAGGGCCCTGCGGGGAAGCCCCGGTGACTTCCCGGGCCAGCGCGTCCTTTCTGCGCGTGAATTCTCCTTCCTTGAGCACCAGAACCCTGCCCTTCTCCACCGGCCTCGGGGCGCTTTGCACCTCCCTCGCCTCCTGTCGGGCCGTTGGTGCCCGTTTCCACTCGCCCTCCCGGCTTCTCCCAGTTATATAACTCTTCCTCTCGCCGTGTCCTGGTTTCAACTCCGCAGACTCCGCCCTGGAGCAGCGCGGGGAGGGGCAGGGGAGGGGGGACCCAGACAGACTCCGGCTGGCGGCCTCCCTGCTGGGAGACAGATCCCGCGGGATCCGGCGCCTCCGCCCCACACCGCCCGCCTCCCACCTCCCCCGGGATCTCCGGGGAGCGAAGGCACGGTATCTCTGAGAGGCGTGTCGGGACTCCGGGACTCCGTCAGAAATGTGGGTTGGGAGGTCAGGGCCGGAGGCGGAGAGGTGGAGCCGAGAGGCCCGAGTCCCCGGGGTTGGAGCCGAACTGAGGGTAGAAGAGAGAAAAGCAGGAGCAGGATGCTAGGGTCCAGCTTCCACCTGCCTCTCCTTTTTGGGTTCCCGGGATTCCTAAAGCTATTTTCCAAGACGCTTAGCCAGCGGCGCCTCTTCCCCTCGAGGTGTCAAAGGTCTGCGTTAGAGATGGCCCGGGATGATGTCACCAGCGCACGTGCCCGGAATTGTTGCCAGGCAATGAGTCCTCCTCCCCTGGCCATTCCGGCCCCCCACCTCTGCCCCAATTTCAGATCCAGCCCCGTGCCATCTTTTCCCCCTTTCCCTTCCCTGCGCCTTAGCATCCAGCAGGTGGGAAACTCTGGCCTGGAGTTTTGGAAGGGGGCGGGCGCGGGCGTGGTGTGGTGCAAAGACCCTTTGCTGGGCTCGGAGAACTCTCGGTCACGTTTCCCTAGATTGGCACCGGCGAGCTTTCCCCCCAGTCCCTCCTCTCTTGGAAGAGCCTCCAGATGTCCTTTTCCTTCCCATCTCCCGCGTTGCCCAGGGTCCTGTAGCTCCGTGTTCATTCTGTGTTGAAGTGAGAGTGGTGGCAGGACAGCTGCCCCTAGGAGAGCTGTGTGTGGTGTGGAGGATCCACTTGTCACCAGCTCTGTCTGACCTTAACCAGTGGCACCCCCACCTCCACCCTCAGCGTGAGGGGGAGGGCCAAGAAGTAGTACTAGAATGAAAGGTCAGTGTGTTTATCTCGTGGAGGTGGGTGGGTCTTTCTCTTAAGGGAGGACTCAGTTGATAGCTATGGGGTTATTAAGTCCTGGGTCTGTTACAGTACTGGGGAAAAAAATGGTTTCTCTTTTTATAAACCTTATATACCTTGAAGCGTGGGCTGTCAGGTCAGACTTCATTCCATAGGCACTTGGAAAGGTCACAACACCTCTGAGCTTCATATTCTTAATCTGGAAATTTTAAATATCCATAGAGCACCTTCCTTCTAGGCAGTTGGGAGAATGAAAAATGAGATAATTTATGCATAGCATTGAGCACAGTGCCTGGCATAAACTGCACCCTGAATGAATGCTTGCCATGAAATGGCTAAATAATGTGAGTTACTATTTTTATTATTCACGTTGGTAGGCCAGTGCCTGAGGATTCTTCGCAGAGCGGTGGTTTGTGTTAATTCGGTGGTGGTGGTGGTGGTGATTAGCTTCCACTGCTTTGTGCACTTTATTTGATGAAGGCTTCAGTCAGATTTGTTTTCGCTTTCTTTAGGTTTATTTTTCCTCCTCGTGGAGAAGAAACAGCTAAGACTATTCCTCTGGCTGCGAAAATAAAATAATTGTGTTGTGGTTCTTGACTTTTAAGCAAGACCCCAGTCCCCTCCCTGTGCTGTTCTCTGGAGCCTTTCGATTTGCAAAGGAACTCCACAGTTTCCTTTCGGGGACAGGGCTGGGCGAGGGTGTGTAAAATGTTGGGGTGGGTGAGCGGAGAGAGACTAGTGCTGGGGGCTGGAGGGGGGGCGGGTAGTTAAAGGAAGAGACCGGAAGGGAGGAGGGAGCCTGCTGGTGGGGAGGGAGGGAAGGGAGGAGGAGGTGGAGGAGGAGGAGGAGGAGGACGAGGAGGAGGAGGAGGAGGAGGGAGGGAGGGGGTTGGGGAGAGCCTGCTACAGTTCTTTGTTTGACTCCGGGACTCAGGGACGGGGAGGAGGAGGGAGGGAGGCAGAGGCTGCTAGCGCTGGGGCAGGCCCAGGAGGCAGAGGAGGGACCATCGCCCCCGCCCCCCAGCCCCCACTCCCCCCCTGCTGCTCCCCCCTCCCTACCCGGACTCCGGGGGCACCGCCGGGGGACAGACACCCAGCAGGTAACCCAGGCCTGACTTGCCCTCTCCTCTCTGGTTTTCCTTCGCTCCTTCCCGGATGACCCCTTTCCCCGGTTCCGTCTCCCCGCTCCCGGCCATGCCTCTTTCTCCGCGGCCCTCCCCGCTCCAGCTCCCCGGCCTGGGCTGGCCGCCCGCTGGCCGCGCCGCGGTCTCGTGCAGCCCGACTCCCTTCCCCGCGTCCGACAGCCTGTGCGCCCAGGTCTGCCCGGGCACCTTCTGGGGCTCCGTCTCCCTGCTCCTCCGGGCTCCGCTTTCCTTCTGACCTGTCCCCTGGGCTCTAAAGGAAGGAGGGGGTCCCTGTCTTTTTCTTGCTCCCCCAATTCCCCGCCCCCAACTCTGGCCCCCCTTTTCCTTCTAGCAATCTCCAGGGGTGGGGAGAGAACCGGAATTTGGGGGGCCTTTTGTGGGGGCTGTGTGTCGCTCGGGAGAGGGGCTGTGAGTGTGTGTGCGGGTTGAGGGGGTGGTTGGCAGCCCGGCTGCCTCTGTTGTCCCTTTAAATGGTCCTCACATTTCTGGGGACTCTGGTGGGGAGGGGTGCGGGCTGCTTGCCTGGGGGGGGGGGGGGTAGGGGCCTGGGTTAGTCCACACAATCAGGGGTGGTAATGATTTAAAGGGACAGTCTTGGTGTGGCCGCTGCCACCCTGTGCCAGCAGGAAGGGGAGCTGGGAGCAGGCAGGCCCTGTCTGGAGAGGCTGGGCTGAAGAGCAGGGCATTTGAGGCTGAGGCTGCTGTGGGGCCTGTCAGGTCTGGGACGGCTGTGGCTGGGGAAGTGCAAGGAGGGCTGACAGCTTGCCCTGGGGGGCATTCATCCTGGGCTTTCTCCAAGACACACTTTGGGATTCATGGACTCCTGGGCCAAGAGTCACTGAGTCCAAACTGCAGAGCCGGTCGGTCACCAGGTTAGGGCCCCGGGCGGGTCTGCAGGTCAGCAGCCTGGCTCCGGCACACGAGCTGGCCCTTCAGCTTCCCCTTTTGTTGTTTGGCTCTGTGCACGAGAGAGCCCAGCCCCTCCCCCAGCTCCCTCTCCCAGTCCACATGCCCCCCCCCCCCAAACACACCCACCCCAGCTGTTGGACAGATGAATTACAGCCTCCGGCTTCAGGCCAGGGCTGGTGAGGGATTAAAGCTCTGGGGCTGGCCCTTTAAATGGCTGTTGGCCCCTCCCCCACTCTGGTGTCCAGACACCCCATACACCCACCACTGACCCCCTTGGCTGCCCCTTACTCCTCCTCTTAGTTTGTCCTAAGGCCTGGCACTCCTTTTCTCCAGACTAGAGCCTCCCAGCGTCCCCTTCCCCCCTAAAACCACCACATACACAGCAGTACAGGCCTCTGTGTGTCTGTCTGTCTTTCCCCCCACTCTCCCTGCTTCCACAGTCTGAGTGACCCTGTCCTGGAGGGTTCCAGCCTCAAGCTCCCTTCTCCAGCAGAAGCAACCTGCCAGCCTGGCCTTTCCAGACTGCCGCTGACCACTGCCCTGGGGCAGCAAGGGGCTTGCTTGGGTCAGAAATAGCACCTCCCCAGGGGCAGTGTCATCAGCAGCCCAGGCCGCTTGCAGCACATTGCATCATGGAGGCTGGGGGCTGGCAGCAGAGTCTCTGGGGCAGGGGAAGAACGGGGGCTGGAAGGCCAGGGAATGGAGAGACTGGACTGAGAGCCCAAGTACCTGGGGAGCCTAGGAATCTGGGTCCTTAAGGGCAGAGAGCTGTGGCTGAGGGAACAGGAAACAGATCCCTGAGGAGTTTGAGGTGAAGAGAGACAGGCTTAGGTCTGATCCCTGGATGGACCCCTGGTTCTTGCTTAGACTATGCAAACGGACATGCTAAAAGACGCAGCCGTGTCAGGGTTAGGGGAGGAGGGGGAGGCCTCTGTCCCCTTCCTGGGCCACACAGAAGAGGAAGGAGGTGATGGGGAAACAGGATATGGCCTGGAGGGGTGGGATAGAGGGAGGCTTGCAGCAGAGGCCACTTCCAGCCCCAGAACCAGAGCCACAGTCCTGGCTGAGGAGGAAGGCTTCTCCCTGCTGGGCCTGTTCATCTCGTCTGGCCACCTGTGCTGCTCAGGAGGCCTGCCTGTGCCCGCCTGGGGGGAGGAGAGGGGGCAGAGTCCAGAGGGTGGGGTTGACTGGTGTCTTGATAAGGTTAGGGAGGAGACGGAGCTGAAGGGAAAGGATCAGCTTGCCTGGGGCCAGGATTGAAGGTGACTAGGATGCAGATGTCAAGGGTAGCCAGGCCTACTCCGGGCTAGGATTCTCAGCAGGAGAGTCCGAGATCTTGGGTTGGATAACCACTTACGCAGATACTATAGCATGCTCCCTTCACCCCCAGTCCAGACTGCTTCCTAGAGGGGAAGGCTGGAGGACCACTTTGGCTATGGCATTTCTGGTTGCCATGGGAAACAGATGCTCCCATCCCATCTGATCACCAGAGCCAGGTTTCTCCTCACTAAGGGCACAGAGAGCAGAGAAATGCTGCAGACTGGGAGAGCCCATCTTTAACTGGCTTTTTCTCTTTTAGGTTCCCCCAGGCACCATGCCATCCCCATAGTACCACCCGCCTCACCCACTGTGGTCTGCTGCACCCCACTTTTGGGGCACTGATTCCAATGAGACAGGACACACCAAACTCCATCTGGTAAGTCCTATCCCTGAGTACTACACCCCATCCTACTCCAATGGTCCATTTGCACCGCATGCTCGAAGGATAGTGGTATGATCTGGATCAGCGGTCCCTACCCATGGCCCGCAGACCACTGGTGGTCCGTGAGGTCCGAAAGATGGGCGACCACTGATCCGGACCATGCCCACTCCTCTGAGCATCCCCTGCCTATGGTGCTCCAGTGGTTCAGCCTTCTATGTATGGAGCTCCCCTCTGTTGCCTGTGAATGGTTCAGCCCTTTACTTCCCAGCCTCTCCTTTACCACCGATAGTCCTCCCCCAGGTGCTGCAACTCAGTTGCTGATTGAATTGCATTAAGCTAGGCAGGGGTCTTCAAACTTCTCTCATTATGAGAATCACCTGGTGGAGGTGTTAAAACACAGATTCCTGATAGCACTTCTTATAGTTGGGATCCGGGAATCTGTGGTTTAACAACTCCACCAGGTGATTCTCATAATGAGAGAAGTTTGAAGACCCCTGAGCTAGGGTTTGCGAGCTGGAAAGTAGAGGGGAGATACATTCGCTGGAAGGACTTTGCTTGGCAGGGGGAGGACAGGGCTGTGCCCCTATGAGAGTGGCGGGTTTGGAGGGATACTGGGGGCCATTGCTACAATAATCTGC